ATTTAATACAATATCATCAGTTAGTATAATAGCTTTTTTTATTTGAACTGTTTATCTTAAACATAATACAATTAATTCTTACAACCTACTTATATAGTTAATTCCTAACACTACTTATTTTCTATAAAATAATCTGTCATATCGGTATACATATCCAGAAGGTAATATAAGTCCTTTAAATCTTCCTTGTTTTGAGATGATAGAGTTTCATAACAAATCCATCTTTTTCGCATAGTTGAAAGAACAGGATCAGAAGATAGAAGTAAACTATTAAAAATATCTTCATTCTGTGATTGCCTGGAGCATTTTCTTGAGCTGAATAGTTGAACATGCTTAAAATCTCGATTCCTCGCTTCCTGGGCTTCTTCTGTTAACTCTCCAAGTGGAAGAATATTCGATTCAATTATTATTTGACCATGACACAATACTTTGTGTACTGTTGGTGTTAGTTCCCTCCATGGATACAGAGATACAAGTAATTTAGAAATTTCAGATGTGTATTCCCCAAATCGATTTTCATTAATTTTATGTTTACTATTCAGTGCCATTAAAATAGTTTTAACTCTTCGAAGCAACTCCTTGTCGATTCCAGTTATTTTTGAAGTAATTTCAAAATCACGAAAAAACCTTCTCGACGTATTACCGTCATTTGTACTACCGCAACTTGAAAGTGGTTTGTCGATGTTTAATCCCATCTGAACTTTAAATTCTTCTTGGATTCTGCTTTTTTCCGCAGCTCTCAGTTCTTTCAATTCTTCATTATTTTTTGTTGATTTAGTAGGATAGTTTGTTTTTTTTTTTTTCCTGGATCGCCTTGTATGATGGTAATATATTGTGTCCTTTTTCATGCAGAGCTTTCCTTAATATTTGGTACTTATTTCGACTGAGACCCAGTTCCAACATAAGCGCTATTGCTTCCTCTTCAGTAAAATTTGATTATGATGTTGGAGTTGGTATACTTTCCACAATTCGCTTAAGTCGTTTTGGTGATGCATTAGGAAGAATAGTTGCAATATGTACGACATCCATATGTTGGTTTTCCTTTTTCAGCATTTCGTTAAATGTATCAGCAATTTCCTCATTTGAGATTGAAAAAAGTTTTTGTGTGACCCTCTTTTTTTTTACCTTGAACATAAGTCTTCGTATGACTTGCAAGGCGCTCCTATTGATGTGTTGTAAGTTGAGATTTCCGTAGTAGTTTCCATCCAACTACAAAATTTTAATCGAAATTTCTTTTGATTTCCATCCACAGACTTACTTTTTACATCAAAAAGTTTTAAAAAGTTTTCAATTTTTGATATGCCTGTTTTGTCTACTTTTCTACTATATGTAGTTTTTATATAATTTGAAATGTCTTCAATTCTTTCTGGTCCTTTTGAAGATATACTCCATAAAACGGAACACAACTCTTCGTACTTTAATGTAATCTTCATTGTAGATTTATTAAATATGGTACTTAAAATCTGAGAAGTTTACTTATATACCAATTCTTGTCATTTCCGATACAGGTATTCCAAAGTAAAAAATTACGAATTGTCTACCTATTAACATTTAGGACTATATTACTATAACCTGTAATTCAGTCATTGATATTTCTTATTAGTGAATGAATCGAAATTATCATTACCTGTATATTTTTACCTACATGATCATAAACGAAACAGAACGAAATGATCTGTCGAAAAAATTTAGGTAAAAAATAGTTATAAATGAAAAAGATGAAATTAAAGGACACAGGTTTAAATGAACATATTTTTGAATGTAATTGAGATATTGGCTTAAAATTTTTTGTAAAGGGTCGAGAATTTCCATATCTAACTAAAAAATGATATTAAGGGATAAATATGGACTAAATTGTTGTAGCTATCTGCGATCCTATTAAAATTTTGATATAAATCATAGTTTTAGAAATTAAACAAATATGTAATATATGACAAAATCTTTATTTATGAACAAAACTGAAATTTTCAACGCTTGTTAAATTTGTCATTTCAAATAAGAATATGCAAAAAAAAAAAATTGAAAAGGTCAAAGGGCATCCCGCAATTCCCAAAAATAGGAATGAAAATCCCAAAAATGGGATTTTTTACTTTTTTGCCCATAGGGTCCACATTTCTTTCAGGGCTGGGAAAATACTTTTGGAGTAAATAGAAAACATATTGAGGTTTCCAAAACTGCTTTCAGTTTTCTGATCCCAGCTTTGGGATTTTAGAACATGTCGCCCAAAGTTGAAGTTTTGATAAAAAATAGGTCATATTCGGAAGGACGCAGTGGCAACATTTTCAAAAAATAGAACAAGTTTTTTACGCCAAAGCGTTCTGCGTAAAGATACCTTTTAGAAAACTATAAAATTGTTATATGTTCTTAATAAAAATTTTATTTTATTAATAAAAGAGTTAAGACACATTTTTGGCAAAAAAACGGCAAAAATCTAAAATTTTTTGAATTTTTAAATTAAAAAACGTATATTTTTGGATCTGTAAACGATATTGATCTGAAATTTTTTGTATATTATTGGAAATTGAGTCCATTTGGTCCAAAATTACGCCCGGTATTCAAAAAAAGGCGGACCAAGGTATGGTAAATTTTGTATCACTAAATTTTTAAATGCCTATAACTCGGATATTATAAGAGATAAGTAGTATGTCCAAGCATGTTTTTTCAAGATCTCGTCGAGCGCTTTCACAAAATATAAAAATCTTTGTATTTGGGTGAAAAACAAAAAAATGGCACGAGTTTAAAAATTTTACATGTCGTAGGTACCCTACTTTGAGCCGCCACAGCGCCGTCCCTGGGGCATCTGCAGGGTTCATCTTCAAAACTTAAACTCGAATACTCCTTGGCTACGCTCACGCCAAATTTTATCCCGATCGGATCAGCCGTTTAGAAATGCCAGATTTATTTCCAAAAAATTTCCATTCTGCATACGTATGTAAGCCAGTAATGAGCTTTATTAATTATGGACCCATCCATCTAAAATTTGGAGATTTTGGCTCGCATTAAACTTATGTGTGTAGAATTTCATCGCTACATTCAATTGTTTAAGCCAGTAATGAGTGTTATAGTAAATTTCTGAAGGGGACCTTTTGTGCGGGTAGGGTCAATTATGGACCCATCAACATAAATTTGGTAGAGGTATTTTGGCTCGCATAAAACTTATGTGTGTCGGATTTCATCGCTACATTAATATTTTTAAGCCCGTAATGAGCGATTAGTGATTTTTTGAAGGGGACCTTATATGGGGGGTAGGGTTAATTATGAACCGATCTACATAAAATTAGGTAGAGAGATTTCGGCTCGCATGAAACTTACGTGTGTCAAATTTCATCGCTATATTCGTATTTTTAAGCCAGTAGTGAACGTTACAGTCATTTTCTGAAGGGAACCATATATGGGGAGTAGGGTCAATTATGGACCGATCCTAATAAAATTTAGCTCATATGAAATTTATAAATCTTGAATTTCATCCCTATACTCATACTTTTAAAACAGATATGCCCCTTAAAGCTGTTTTGACCATTTTCAATACTAAACAAACTTTACCCATAGAGATTATTTGTGGAAAATATGAACCCTCTAGCTTATTCCGTTCGGACTCTATCGTGCTTTCAACAGACAGACAGACGGACGAACATGGCTAGATCATCTTAGAATTTAATAAGGACTCAGAATGTATATACTTTTGTGGGTCTATGACCACTATTTCGATGTGTTACAAACGGAATGACAAAAATCAATATACCGCTCATCTTTTTGGATGGTGGGTATAAAAAGAAGATTTTTTGAAAAAAAAAAAAAAAATTTTGAAATAAAAAATATTTTTTTGGAAACAATGAATAGCTATGTGAACTCCTTTGGACAATTTTTGCTAGGACCAATAGGTGAAAAATTAAGGTGGTATTAGACGACATGTATTTTTCATATGTATTGTTACTTTTTTTCCATATTGCTATCACACCTGCCAATGTTTTTCTGCATGATATAACCTAAAAATGTAATCAAAGGTGTCTTTTTAATGTGTAAAAATTGTTAAAATAATAAATTAGTTTATTTTTTTATCTTATTCTTTATTCATTTCCTTTATTTTATTTTTTCCCAAAAATTTTATTTCAATACAAAACAGCTGTTTTGTTTATGTTTGTCGCATGAAAATAGATCATAGTACATGTGTATTTCTTAGGGTGATCGATTATTCGACATTTTCCAAAAACCGGTTTTCGAATAGTTCGAATAGATGACATTTAAAAAAAACCGGTTGATATTTTTCAAATTCAGAAAAAAACGGTTAACCGGTTTTTCATTATAAATAAAAAAATATATTTTAATTTGAAAAACTTAATGTGATTAATGTGAAATGATTTTTAACAGTTTAAAAGATTATCCCCCTTATTCACAAACAAAATTTTTATTTTATAAACAGTTTAAAAATAAGATTTTATATGGAAATTTTGTTTTAAAAACCTTTTATAAAATAAAAATGTTGTTTGTGAATAAGGGGGTATATCTTTAGATCTAGTCGTCTGATTTACATTATTTCATTAATATAAAAAAATTAGGAAAAAAGTGGGACACTTCTGTTAAACATAAGGTACTATGTAATCCTAGCTTATTTTAAAAGCCCTGTTTAGGAAATTTGCATAGACATTCCAACACTTCCATAAAATTTCGGCCGTAAATTAATTATTGTAATTGGAATATAATCTTAAAATTGATAAAATTTTATCAAACAGTTATCAATTTTACAAATAATTTTTTTTAATTAATTGGGAAAATCAAAAAAGTTTAAGGAGCTGTAGAAAAATATACGCTAGTTCCTCGACTCGAATATTTTTAAAATTTAGACGGGCTGTATTATTATTTACTTAAAAATTATATTTAAATAATCTTTGATATTAATATTATTAATTGAATATTCCTCAGGCTCGAGTTCGAGTCCCATTTGGGGATAAGCTATTTTCCAAATTGTAATATTTTATAATATTAGTAAATTTTATTTATAGATGTCTGCAGCAAGGTGCTTTAGCCCGTACAACTGCATCCACCCAAATGAATGATCAGTCATCTAGATCCCACGCAATATTTACAATTTTAATAAGAAGGCAACGTGTTATTACATCGGGAAGTGAATTCGTAAAGGATGACCTCGAAACATTAACATCAAAATTTCATTTTGTTGATTTGGCGGGATCAGAAAGAATGAAACGTACTGGAGCTACAGGCGAGAGGGCACGTGAAGGTATTTCAATTAACTGTGGATTATTGGCATTAGGAAATTGTATTTCCGCATTGGGAGATAAAACAAAAAAAACTTTACATGTTCCGTATAGAGATTCTAAACTCACCAGATTACTTCAGGACTCATTAGGCGGTAATAGTCAGACAATTATGATTGCATGCATATCACCAAGTGATTGCGATTTCATGGAAACTTTAAATACTCTGAAGTATGCAAATAGAGCCAGAAACATTAAAAATAAAGTTCAAGTAAACCAGGATCAAAATTCCCGCACAATTTCCCAGTTACGGAGAGAAGTGGCGTCACTTCAATTAGAACTTTTAGAAATAAAACAAGTAAGTAAAAAATTGTTTTGTTTTTCGAATAAAACCCGTCTAACAAATAGGATTTGAACTTACACATAAAACTAATGATTACAACTAATGATTTTCACATAGAAATTTTCTTTTCTGTTTGTGTTCGTGATGCACGATCAAATAAAATGAGCACATTGAGAAAATGTAACTGTTTAATGTTTTATGCTATTCAGCAACATCAGTGTATTGTATAGATAGTAGTTATTCAGCAATAGCATTTATACCTATGGGGAATTTCGTATCAATTGACCCAACTTTTAAAATCGATGTCTTCCGATTTTTGCACCAAGGTTAATACTATGGGATAGTAAGACAGACACAAAGTCAAAGTTGGACATTTTGTTCATACAGGGTTTTATTCAAATGAGTGTAACTTTTCACCTATTACTGAAATTGGACAAATTTGTCCAATGGAATTCAGATAGCCTTCATTGTTTCTAAAAAAAGTACAATTTTTTTAATTTTTTTTTTAAATGGGCTTCTTTTGAGTAAAAAAATACAACAAAAACGTCCAAAAATAGGGAAAATTAAGTTTCAAATATTGAAAAAATTTTATTCATGAGTTAAAAAATATATTTTTTTTGATAGATATTCCACTCGCATCATATTATGGGACTAAAAAGCCCTTAAAGGAAATTGTATAAACTTCCTTTTAATAAAAAAATGGCCCATTTTGAAAAAAATAAAAAAAAAATATTTAAAATAATTTAAAAACAAATTTAAAATTAGAAAAAAAAAAAAACAATGAAGAAATAGCTATCTGAACTCCTTTGGACAATTTTTGCTATAACTAATAAGGCCTGTCCACGAAAAAATTTACCCACTTTAAAATTATTATTACTTAGCAACCATGTGTGCTATTGAAATGAAACAAGTATCAGATTTTGTCAGTGTCATACACGTGTAATTTTATTTTCCAAAAGTTTTGCCTTTGAAAGATGTCGTCCGAACAAGAAAAAACTAGAAAAAAAAATTTGTACAAATGCTTCATTAAGTACTGTTAAGAGGGTGGTACGATACAATGAAATGTTGACAACACAAAGAAAACCAGGTTCGAGAAGAAAAAGAGAACTCACCAATAAAACACTCGCTGCGAAGATAGTCTCAAAATTTCAACAAAAACCTAACACCTCGGTTCGAGATATGGCCAAAAAATTGGGAACATCAAAATCGTATGTTCACAAGGTAAAAAAACGATATAATCTGAAGTCAGTTAAAGTAACTAAAGTGCCAGATTATTTAGATTATTAAAAGCTTTTTATGCAAAAAATATTTTATATTGGAACATTTTTAAATATTATTAATATTTTATGCATTTAACAGAATTTACAACTGCTTAAAATACATTACAGATCTGAATTTGGGATGCAAATATTTAAATTCGAAGTGCACCTTGAGAGCGCTTTCCAAATTGTTCTCCCTGTTGAAAGTATTTTAAAATATCATAAATCAATGGTATTTTTTATATTGTTTAAATTTATTTTTTTTTTTATTAAACGAATATTCAAGCATAATTTTTCGCGATATTTTGAAAATAATTTTTTTAGTTTAAGTTAGTTCAAATGTCCATAAAATATATATAATTTTTTATTTTGTACAAATTCATCAATAATGCACTTACAAGATATGTTAAACACGTAGAAAATGCACCCAATATGCATTTGCATTAAAAATACATTTATCTTAACAAATATTATTTAGAAATGAATTTTTATCAAAGTGTACATTAGTTGTAAGAAAATTTAATTATTTGCAACCCAATTCAGATCAGTAATGTATTTTAAGCAGTTTTAAATTCTGTTAAATGCATAAAATATCAATAATATTTAAAAATTTTCCAATATAAAATATTTTAAAAACCCGACAAAAATAGATGCACGTCAAAACAACAAAATATTTTTATATTTTGAGTAAAAAGCTTAAAATAATCGATTTATGCACCTTTGAAACTTTTTCAACAGGGAGAACAATTTCAAAAATGCATTCAAAAAGTGCATTTCTTTAAAAAATGCACTATCTTAAACTTTTTAATATAAATAGATTGGTTTTTAAATCAAAAAAAAAAATCCGATATAAACTCTCAAAGATAAGATAAGCTTTCAAAGTTTTATACCTTTTTGATTTTGATTAAAATCTCCATAAAAATAGTGTTTTTTGGAATTTTAAGAATTTAACATTGATATGCAGCAAATCTTTTTTCCCTAAATTGGACATTATACAAATAAATATACAATAAAACATTATATGGGAATCCGCGGGAATCTCATTTGAAAGTTACACTAAATGTCTGACTATCCAAAATATTTATTACACAAATAACATATTTTCGACGATAAATTTTTCGCACTAAAAACTTTTTAATTAAACACATATTTGCTTTGAAGCTAATACATACCTTGTATTATTCAGTAAAAAAAGAGAAAAGTGAAAATCTTGTATTGTTTGCTACTACGATCAGTTCAAAAATGATGCTAAGAAAAGACTGCATTTTATGAAAACTGTTATAATACAATTGCTCATATTTGAATCTACGCCAGTATTGGAGATTCTGTTAATTTTTGTTTTAGTTCGTCGAATTCTCGTTGAACAAAGAACATCAAGTTCTTTGTTCCATTTATATTTTTTACCTTTTTTCAGTAATGACGTTTACGGTTGGGTTTTATCGGGGTCAGTCTTGATACCATCGCACAGCGTTCGATTTTCAAATTTAGGTGGCCAAAACTAATTACTCAAAACTAAAGCTACGTTCACATCTATGAAATATTTGACGTTTTTTATCAAATATTTGTTGGCTGTAATGTGAACACAAAATATTTTTGAAGAGCAAACAAAACATCAGCTGTTTTTCGTGAAACATTTTTATTTGTCAACCTACAAATATTTTCCCAATGTGAACACCAAACACGAAACATTTTTGTTTAACGTTAAAAAAATTATTTAATTAAATTACAATAGTTTTTTACAATTTCATAGAAATTTCTGGCTAAAAACAACATAACAAGAAGAACAGTTAATGCACAACCAAACCAAAAGCCAAAAATATATCTGTTTATATTTACTACAAAGATATATCATTGGATAATAACATCAATTTATTCTAAAATTTCATTTAATATTGTTTTTCAACAAACACAAATTACATTTCAATACCTTGTGCAAGTGGAAAAGAGACAGATGGTGGACCTGCACTGTCATGTTGTAGCTATTTAGTATAGTCAATGTAGCGAAAAACCTTGGTTATTTGGAATGGTTTATAGCGATTTAAAAAAAATCGCTATAAGCCGGGAAATAACCAAATTATAAATTATTTTCATTAAATTATCTATAAAATTTAAAATTATTGAGAATTGTTTATTATTAATATACTAGCTATACCCAGTGTGCTTTGCTACCCTAGAAGGAATATGTATAAATAAAAATCCCACTTAACGATTTTGAAGATTCTAACCACAATAGTTTTCCAGATTTATAATGCGTTACATATGAGAGATGTCAAGCAAACTATTGCGAGTTCGCCAGTTTCTATCTATCTATAAAAAATTTAAATAATAGAAGAATTTCCAAGGTGCAAAATTTAGTAATTTTGTATTTAATTTATATATGTTGTGCCAAGCCACCTATTGAAAGTCCGCCCCTTATGCTCTAAATGTTCACATGAATTTCAAAGTTCTTCATGTAAAATTTGAAGATTCTAGCTCTAATAGTTTCTCAGATATACGAATTTTTCTATTTGATTCATGTGGGGGCTTCAAGCTCCCAAAATCTTCAGATGAATACTATACTAATTTGTGCAAAATTTTAAGAATCAAGTTCTATTAGTTTCCCAGGTAAACGAATTTTATATTTAATTCATATGGGAGGTGCCAAGTTCCCCATTGAAAGTCCGTCCGTTATATTCTAAATGTTCAGATGAATGTCAAGATTCTTCAAGTAAAATTTGAAGATTCTAGCTCATATTAGAGCTCATATTAGAGCTTTAGTTTTGAGTAATTAGTTTTGGCCACCTAAATTTGAAAATCGAACGCTGTGCGATGGTATCAAGACTGACCCCGATAAAACCCAACCGTAAACGTCATTACTGAAAAAAAGGTAAAAAAAATAAATGGAACAAAGAACATCAAACAGAATTCGACGAACTAAAACAAAAATTAACAGAATCTCCAATACTGGCGTAGATTCAAATATGAGCAATTGTATTATATGTCAAGATTCTTCAAGTAAAATTTGAAGATTGTAGCTCTAATATGTTGTGCCAAGACACCCATTGAAAGTCCGCCCGTTATTCTCTAAATGTTCACTTGAATTTCAAAGTTCTTCATGTAAAATTTGAAGATTCTAGCTCTAATAGTTTCTCAGATATACGACTATAGACTAGAGTCTAGTCTATAGTCTTGTCTATAGTCTACTCTATAGTCTAGTCACTAGACTATAGAATAGACTATAGACTAGACTATAAACTAGAGGGGCATTTCAATTTCAAATTTTCGAGCAGATTTTGTACTTTACCCTCTCCGATTTCGATGAAATTCGGTACACATATTCTTCATGTAAATACGGAATTTGAAATTCTCCACAATTTCTATATTTTATATATTGTTGAGTACACAAATCGGATAAATAATTAAGAAAATATACGTGAAATTTAATACTTGCTGAAAAAAATTCAAAATCCTACCTTTTTGTTCGAAATTAATATGAACATCAGGGAAATATTTCGAAGAGGGCCTTTAATAAGGGCTTAAGCATGGATCGTGCTCTTCCGAATTAAAAATATTAATTTTGTTTGATCCAATGTTTATAACCATAAACTTTTTTTTTTTGCAAGAGTGGTTATATGGAGGGTAGAGTAAATTATGGACCTATCCTTGTCGGTTTATACAATAATTATTTGTATCTAATGTATCTGTACTTGAATCTTTAATTCAGTCATGAGGTTTAAAGTAATTATCTGAAGTAAACCGAAAATGGGTGTTTGATTAGTTATCGACCGATCCTCACAAAATTCAGTTGAAAAATTCCAGTTCCTATAAAACTACCGTAATTTTGAAGAACTTTTGAGCGTTAAAGTGGTTCTCTGGAGTGAATCTTATATAAGGGTCAATTATAGACCCTATACGCCTACCCCCGTATAAGTCAATTATGGATCGATACTTCTAAAATTTAGAACGATTTTTGTACATACAAATATTGTTTATGTCGCATTTTTGAGCCAGTAATGAGCTTTAAAGTCATTTTCTAATGGGGACCTTAATAGGGGCATAGGGTAGGGGCTCATACAAAACATGTTTATGTGAAATTTCATCGCTGAGCGTTACAGCCAGTAACGAGAATTACAGTCACTATCTGAGGGGGACCTTATATGGAGGGTGGGGTCAGTTATAGACCGATCCCCATAAAATTTGATAAATAGTTTTTGGCTAGTACAAAACTTGTTCACGTAGAATTTCACTGCTGTAATCGTATTTTTATGTAAGTAATGAGCGTTAAGGTAATTTTCTGAAAGAGACCTTATAGGGGGGTAGAGTCAATTACAGACTGATCCTCATAAAATTTAGTGGGAGATTTTAGCTAATACGAAAATTGTTTATGTCGAATTTCATCGCTGTACTTGCAGTTTTAAGCTAGTAATGAGCTTTAAAGTCATTTTCTGAAGGGGACATTACAAGGGGGATAGGGTTAATAAGGGGCCGATCCTTTTAAAATTTGATAAAGAA